ACTTGCTAAGCACTTCAGTGGAAAAAAGCACTCCATGTCCATCATCATTTTTGAGATTCATTACATCTCTCTGAAGTAGGCAGGAAAGAAATGATTCCTCTCTTTCCAAGTGGGAAAACTGGCATAAGATTCATCACATCTCTTATGTAAGTGGAACTGTAGTTTAGGCTTTATGACTTCAAAGGCCAGTGCTTTCTCAAATTGTTTCATCAAATTATCTTTGGCTTCAAAATCTCTAGCTCAAAGACAAAAAATAGGTTTCAAATCTATGCCAACTTTGATTATTAGTAATTTGTTTTAAAAGGATTTTGAGGTCTGGTCAAGCTAAGTGAGAGAGGGATCTCCAAACTAATCATTGACTTACTAATCCAAATTATCTATGGAGCATTTATTATGTGCCAGGCACTGATCTAGGCACTGAGAAATGCAGTATCTCCCATCGGTATGAAAGGAAGGAGGGCAACCTGGGTGATATCTGTCATCTCTGAGAATATAGCTACCACCTACCAGAATACAGAGAGGCTTGGAGGGACTCTCCTTTTTCTTTACATTATCTCTGTCTCCCTTGTGATTTCCTAGTTAGCTCCAGTTGGAATTTACAAAACCCTTTCACTATCTAAGGCTACTTAGCATGCTGAAGAAGTCACTAACTGTGCAAATTGGCCCTATACCTCATTTCTAAAACACATTTTTTTTTCATATTTTAACATTCTAAAATTAGAATTCATCTTACAAGAGTCTTATGATTTCTGTAGACCTGAATTGAAAGAGTCCTTCTGGGCAGAATCTGTATACGCTTCCATCAGTCACATCGTGCACTATCAACTTCACAGTACCGAATTTTTCTACTTGATATATTTTGGACTACGCTTGAGGTATGAATTTAGATGGTAGATCTGCACAAGTATTAACTTGTGGCTCAAATTCCTGAAGAATATTTTACCTTTCCCTACATCTAGTACTAAAGTTATGGCATCTAACTTTTTGTGTGGGTGGGTTTATGCCTTGTTTAGCCTCACAATGAAGATAGTCTTTGGTGACTCAGCCTTAAATGAATGTATTTTGGGAATTTTGTTTTCTCCTATTGAAGTTGTATTTTACAATGAATTTTTTGTTCTGATTTATTGAAATATAGTACAAACAGATACTAATACTAATTGGGTTGTATTGCTACTGAAAGTCTTATTAATCTCTGGTTGACTCCTTACTTTAGTCTCTATAAACTATTTAACATCTTAACTATTTTATCTCTGCTTCATCTTCTAAACTTGAAGCAATTACGGTTTCAGGTAATAACTAAGACATTCAGTGTAAATTCCCTCAACTTTTCTATAGATTACCTTCTTTGTTGCTTTCCCAGAAAATGAATTATTCTTCCCTTTTTTCAATGCCAAATCTTTTTTATTTGTTGTGTTCTCAGAAAGCTTACTTCACATTTCTATGTGTTTCCTATGACTCTTGATTCTTACTCTGTCTATAAGCACAGTTGAGTCTACTCTATCAAAATAAACAAAACGCGTCTCTTGACCTTACTGTCTAAAAGCCACTGCCCCAACTTTCTCATCTCAGACAATGGTTCTATTCTTCCAACAGCTCAGGGTATATATCCAAAGGATTATAAATCATTCTATTATAAGGACACAGGCACACGAATGTTCATTGCAGCACTGTTTACAATAGCAAAGACTTGGAACCAACCCAAATGCCCATTGATGATAGACTGGACAAGGAAAATGTGACCCATATACACCATGGAATACTATGCAGCCATAAAAAACAATGAGTTCGTGTCCTTTGTAGGGACATGGATGAACCTGGAAACCATCATTCTCAGCAAACCGACATAAGAACAGAAAATCAAACATTGCATGTTCTCACTCGTAGGTGGGTGTTGAACAATGAGAACACATGGACACAGGGAGGGGAGCATCACACACTGGGGTCTGTGGGCGGGGGGCGGGAACTAGGGGAGGGACAGTGTGGGTGGGGATTTGGGGAGGGATAACATGGGGAGAAATACCAGATATAGGTGAAGGCAGCAAACCACATTACCATGTATGTACCTATGCAACAATTTTGCATGTTCTTCACATGTACCCCAAAACCTAAAATGCAATTATACACACACACACACACACACACACACACACACACACACGCACACACACATAGACAAAAAAAAACAAAAACTCTTAGGTTATCCGTATCAGGATCTCATTCTCTCTCAAAACCTAAATTGTCAACTCATCAGCAAATCCTATGGCCCTACCACTCTTCACCACCTCTACAAATGCAGTTTTTTTTTACCTGGATGATTACGTCATCTTTTACCTGGACTATTGCAATAGCTGGTCTCCCAGCTTGTAGTCTTGCCTGCCTATGGTATGTTTGCAACACAGTAACAAAAGGGATCTTTTAAAAAGGTGTCAGATTATGATCTTCCTCTCTTCAAAATCCTCCAATGGCTCTCTAGCTCTCTTGCAGTAAAATCCAAAGTTCCTTTACATGCCCCATAAGTCCTAAATAATTTGACCACACTGACCCTCTCCACTCACTCAACTCTGACTCTCTGGTCTCTTTGCTATTCCCTAAATAACCAATGCATTCTTGTCTCACACCTACCATTCCTTCTGGCTGGAGTGTTCCTTTCCAAAACTACCATATAATTCCCTCCCTTGCTTTATCCAAGTCTTTTTTTCCAAGTATCATGTTTATAATGTGGTCTTCCCTAACTACCCTGATATTGTATACTCTCATTCTCCACCCCCCTTTTTTGCCTTTTTTTTTTTTTTTTTTTTTTTTTTGGTGTAGCATTTACTATCTTTTACTATTGTATGCAACACTTAAAAATTATCCCATTTCTACCTTCTAACTTGCCTCACAAAGGCAAGCATTTTTGTGTGCTTCATTCACTGCTGTATCTTTAGCACCTAAGACAGTGTCTGACACATCCTAAGGGTTCAATAAAAATTTGTTGATTATTTAGATACCAAATTTTCAATAACCACCTAAACCATTATGAATATGGCTTCTGATCCTACAGTTCTGCTCAATTCATGAAGTTTGAGTTTCCGTACGCTGTGGCATTTTATACGATTTTTATTTCTACAATAACCCTCCTCTTGAAACTTTTTCTTGCAGAGATCTCTGAAATGTTTCATTGTCAAAGTTTGGCCACTGTGTTTGGGGATAAGTAGGTTGTCATCTGCATGTCTCTTACTTGATTACTTCCTGAAGCAGGCTAGTTCATTTCAGAAATCACTTAAACAAGAAATGACTTAATATTGGATTGAACTCTGCCTTCTAACTTCTACCCAGTGATCTTAGTTCTCAGCTCTGCAATTACTGCGAACAAGTCTAATTCTGCTTCTCTAGTAGCCTCTAAGATACACTGAGACACTTCTTTCCTCCTCTTCAGTCTTCTTTGGATCAAAAAGTGTTATGGTTCCTACAACCATACCTCTCAAAACATTGTTCTGAATTTTTCCCATCTTGGTCATTGTCCTTCAGATAATTTCTAGTTTATCAATCTCCCTGTCTAGAGATTATACCCCAGAGGTCCCCTCTCTGAGATCCTAAATTCTTGTTCTAAATATTATTCTAGTAGCTTAAGCAAAGGTGACAAAAGCTTTATTGGCATTATCTATCATCACAAGTTTACCTGAGACAAAGTCAGTTTAGACCATTAAGCCTTTTAAATTATGAGCTGAAATTAAGCCACATCTTTTCTATCTGTACTTGAAATATTTGTATTCCTTTTACATTCGTTTTGAAAGTTCTAATCTTTCCATCATTTTAGTTTTAGCATACCCATTGGTTATATCATAAGTTCTAATCTCTCTGCATGGAACTCAAGGTCCTCTGCAATTAAGTCTCAACCATCCTTTTACCCCCATCATCCACTGCTACCCCAGCTCCAATTCACATTGCCGTCCAGCCACACTGGGATACTCAGAACCCCAACAACTCCAATCTTCCCACCTCCTTGACATTGCTTATACCTAATTCCCTTGGACTAGAATGACCTCTTGCCTCATCTCCATCTGTTGAAATCTTCAATATTAGATCTGCCAAAGACCTCATGAGCTATAAAATCATAACTACCCTTCAACACCTCATTTCAATGCCATCTTTCTCACTAAAACATTTCTCTCTCCCCCCACACTTCAAACCACTCTACACACGCGCCTTAAAAACCACACCAAAGATAATTAGCTTCTATTTTTTATAGTGTGCACATTCTTGGATGATGTGAATTATAAAGCTTATTTCCTCTTGTTTTGTAGTATAGTTATTTTTGTCTCTTTCTACCAGATTATACACTCGTAGAACTGTTATCTTTGTTGTATGCTATTCAAGTCTCAGTATAGTTTTAAAAATGAATTTAGATTACTTAAGAAAATGAGATACTTGCAGAATGATTTTCTAAAGCTTAAAAATAGTTTTAGCTATATTTAGATATATTTTAGAGGATAGGGTATGTAGTTGTAAAAAGATACTGAAGCTTACAGGACATGAAATATTTTCCATCTTCTAGGTGATGCTAAGCAAAATATTTATATATTTTGCTTGTTTATAGAAATAAGTGTGACAGAACTAATCGCTAAATCCCACAGCAATCTCATTACCAAATGCTGTATTACATTATTTGAATACATCAATTCAAGTAAACTTTAATAACTATTCAGGTTGATGATTTATATTGATGAGTAAATATTCACCAACCAAAAAATATCAGATGAATTATATACTTTTATATTAGAACTGGAGATACTAGATAAAATTTCCAAAATAAGCCAGGTGTGGTGGGATGCCCCTGTAATCCTTATTACTTTAGGCTGGGATGGGAAGATACCTTGAGCCCAGGAGTTCGAACCCAGCCTGGGCAACATAGGGAGAACCTGTCTCAAAAAAAAAAAATTTGCTATAGTAGTGTCTGTTAAACTGCCCCATTTTGTGGGTGGAAAAGCCCCAGGATCATTGCTATGTGGGATACATACCAATTATGAGAATAGTTGTCTCCTTTGGAATGGGGGTAACGCATCTTCCTACTTTCTCCAAATAACACTGTCAACTGAGGTTTACAATCTTCAAAAACATGGGAAAGAAATCGATCATTTGCCCCACCTATAGACAACATTTCAAAATGATACAGAGGCCAGCCTGAAGCAGTACAATTTATATTATTGATATTTATGGGAATGCAAATATTTTTAGAGGCTATGATTTAGACATTGGATTTGCAAACAGACTTTAAAAATATTTCTGAATTCATAATTTGAATCAAAATCAGCATCTTTTAAAACAGCTCTTCAGATGTACCATTTATCCATCTTTCCCATCTCTTTCTGGGCTGTCTCTGGTAAGGTTAAATACCTTTGTATAAAGATGCTAAAGTACATTTTGGGAGGCCAACGTGGGTGCATCACTTGATGTCAAGAGATCGAGACCAAGCCTGGTGAAACTCTATCTCTACTTAAATAAATAAATAAATAAACAAACAAACAATTCCAGGTGTGGTGGTCCATGCCTGCAGTCTCAGCTACTCAGAAGACTGAGTCAGGAGAATTGCTTGGACCTGGGAGGCAGAGTTTGCAGTAAGCCAAAATCGTGCCACTGCACTCCAGCCTGGGTGGCAGAACAAGACTCAGTCTCAAAAAAAAAAAAAAAAAAAAAAAAAATTAAAAAAAGATGCTCAATAAGCTGGGTGCAGTGGCTTATGCCTGGCCAACATAGTGAAACCCTGTCTCTACTAAAAATACAAAAATTAGCTGGGCATGGTGGGGGCACCTGTAATTCTAGCTACTTCAGAGACTGAGGCAGGAGAATCACTTGAACCCAGGAGGCAAAGGTTGTAGTGAGCTGAGATTGCTTGCCACTGCACTCCAGCCTGGATGACAGAGTAAGACTCCATCTCAAAATAAAATAAATAAAGTCAATGTGATTTAAAACTTTTAGCAATGGCATGGCAAGTCTCCCTCATTCACTCAAAAGTTTTAGATGCCAGGGTTGGGTTTTAAATGCTGGAACCTATGTAGGAATATGAGCAGGGCATTTAAAGTTTACATTCCAGAATTTAAACAAAACTCAGATAATAAATATGGTACAATCCTTCCGTTTGTGTTCCTCTAATGACTTTTTTTCAAGTCAGCTTCCTCCTCTAACTAGAACTTCACATATCCTCTCCTCTCTGGCTTCTCTTCACTTCTTGAACAGAACTCAGGGCCTTTGTTAGGTATCTTAGGCTCATTTTTGAGAGGGGTTGGCCCTGATTCAAACCTGTAGAAGGTATAAAGAGTCAATGCCTTTCCCAATAATAATCATTTAAATAAAAAATTTTTAACAATGCAACACTAAAAAAATTAAGAATTATAATTTCTACTACTACTAAAATCAATGCAGAGGGAATCTTCTCAGAGTTAGCGACTCACTGTTTTTAAAAAGGCTAAAGGACTATGTGGAAGCAGAAAATAATTTATTTGATTTGATGGCTAGTGTGGCTTTAAAAATAAGATGTGAAAGATTCAATTCTCTGATTTTTAAGGGTTTAGAAAACTCAATTTAACCCTATTTCCAGAGCATAGCCATTTCTGGAAAGGGATAGGAGAAAATGAACTAGAAAAAAAAAGTTGGCAAATAGAGCATGAGAAGCTTAGAATATTATCCTAAGGAAGCATTATTTAAATAAATCACTTACCACATTCTGATGTTCATTTGACTGGAATTAACCACTAATGTTGGATTTCATTGCTCTTGTAACATCTTATTGTTACCATTAACCTTTGTTCAGGGCTTTTAAACCTTGTCAACCTTCCCTTCCAGGTGATCAAATGGAACACAATTGCTACTAGAAGAGAACTGTTCCCCTGCAGTGGAGCAGTGAAGAGGACTTTTACATCTAAGATGAGAGGAGAGTCTGCGGCAGTCTGAGGAAGTGCTAGTCTGTGGTGGGATCCACAGTGCCACTTCTAAAAGCCTCAGTCAGGTGGCTGACCTTGAACTGCCATAAGAAACAGATGAAGGATGGAGAGAAGCCTATGTTCTTGGGCTCTGGGTCTTGCCACTTAAAAGAATATTAGGTTTCTCTATTCAACTGCTTGATCCTGAAAGCTGTGTTCTCTCAGGCCTCTTTCATTCTGCAGAGGACAGGTTTGGTATCTCCAAGGCCCACATTTTCCCAATCTCGATTTTGTTGTTACACAGCTAAATTAACTCTCCAAGGCCTCACATTTTCATCGTTGCCAAGTAAAATTAACAAAGTTGAGTGGGCAAAGTGGAAGATGAGTGATTTATTTTTAGTATTCTTAAGTAGTACAGAGAAAAAATATGCCAACTGAAAAAAAATGAAGACAGAATCCCCTGATGAGTCTATTCTCAAGGTCTGTTAATAAAATCTCATAAATGCAAAAAGGCATCTCATGAAAATTTTATACAGGGATTTGGTTTGTTCAAGTTACATTAACAGATTTCTGTACTCAGGGTTTCAGAGACGCAAGTATCTACATTGGATTAAGAATTTAAAACCAGCCATATTCTTGCTTTGTTCTAAAGCTTAGTTCTGATAATATCACAACATAGCAGAGTAACTACCCTTGAGTTAGAATGAGATGAGGAAGAAAGAATTCACCTACTTGTGAGCAGGTCCTGAGTGATAAAATCCATCAACTCAGACACTTTGGAGAAAATGCCAAGTGATGCCTTCATATAGTTGTTTCTTAGAGGAGCTGAACCTCCAGCAGAACCAGCTATCCAGGAAGTTACCCCAGCAAGAATCCAGATTCCATCACCTCTTCTGCAAACCAGGGGTCCTCCAGAGTCCCTCTTTCATGGTAAAAAAAAAAAAAAGAGAGAGAGAGAGTGAGAGAGAGAGAGAGAAAATTTGAAAATAGCCAGTAAAACATTTCATCAGTTCCACAAACATCAGCAGTCATCACAAAGTGGAAAGAGGTAGAGGCAAAGAAGTTCACTAGTCAGCATCCATCAACTTTTTGTTATCTATTTTCTTGTGTCCTTTTCATTAGTTTCAAGCACAATCTTTTCATCCAGATAAAATCTCTTAATACTTACTGTCAGCAATTTTGTTAGGCTAACAATTTCTCCTACTGCTCTTTTTTTTTTTTTTTAACTACTGTGTACATTCTAAAAATCGTTAGAAGGGAGGTAGTTCACATAGATGCTTCTACTATAGTTTGTCACCTGGAATTGCTAGTAAAGACTAGGTCATCTTCCAGTCCTATAGAGCAACAGTGAATAGATCCCCTCAAGATAGCTCAAGGCCTCAAGGCTTTAAAAACAGAAAGCCTGGGAAACCTAATTTTGTCCCTGGGGATGTATGCAAAGGACCGCATTGGCTTTCATACCACAGAATAAAGAGCCCAAGATTTTAGGATTACATCTTCAATAAGGTTCCAGAATCTATGCTTTAAGAGTATGTTTCAGGCAAACTTGTGTCAGATTAAACTCTCCTCAAAAGGTGTGGAGGGCTTCATCCATGAAAGGATTGCCTATATGAATACAGATAGCAAAAAGCAACTTTAGACTATCTATTTTCCAAATTAGAAAGTGGCATAAGTATAAGTTTCAATTTCCTCCCTCCCAAACTCCTGTTACCCCAAAAGTCCTTCCAACAGATAATTTCAGAGAGCTTCCCACAACATTTTCAAGCTGCTTTCTGGCAAAGAATAATGACTCCTTACTGCTCCACCTTAAAAGAGAAGATAATTTACTTGGAAGACCTGTCTAAAACTTAAAACTAATGTGTTTCACAAATTGACCTCCTTGTCCCCCTAAATATGTTGTGAAGATTGCTATTCTTTGTGAAGTTGTGTCAGTCTTGGGAGAGTGTGGTCATTCACAATATTCCTTACACAACAGTCACTAAAGCTATGCATCTTTGGTCAAACTTTGTACAAATATATTCTGCATGTAAGAAAAAAATCCACAATGCTTAACAACATGTGAAATGAAGAATTCAGAGCTGGACCTATATGACTGTGAAAGTGGTGATCTTGCTTGATTCCATTGGGTTGAACACATTGAAACTAACCCCTTTCCCCAACCCACCAAAATAAAAGAAGTGTAGGGGTAGGAATGGTCATGGAGACAGGAAATAATTCTTTAGTAAAAGGCAAAAGATTTATACGATCTGAAGAGTGTAGGAAATAGTTCTTCCTGCTCAGGTCAAGTATACTTTTTCAGTAGAAATCAGATGGAAAGATGAAAGGAAAAGGAATTTTGACCCAGTAGCAGAAGAAGCATAAGCTTCTTTTGAGGAAAGGCAGAATCTACTTTCACTCACATGTTACTGAACAACTAGGCTGGTTTATACTTTTGTACCTGGCAGGCATCCCCTCCCCCGCCAGGGAAGCTGGCACACAGCATGGTCCTTCCCAGGGGAGGGAGATTCATACTCTTGAGCACAGTATTACACGTTTTGTCATCCATGATGGGAAGTTCCATTTCTTGTAGGACATTTGAATATTCTGATGCTGTAGAGAGAGGGCAGATATGTTAGTATACAATATCCTCATGGAAACAAATTAATGAGAAGAACAATGACTTCCATCAGTTTTAAGAGTTTTAAACTCTTAAAACTATTTCAAACAGATTTTTAACCACAGGTGGAAGTCATTGTTTTTCTGTGTGAATCATATTGACTTCTAAAAATCAGATAAGTGATAGAGGACATTTTTTAAAACTTTAGCAGATTCTTAAGGTAAAATAGGCAATTATTTAATTGTGGATTCTTTAAACAAATGTTTCCCCAAGAGGAAAACTTTGGTCAATACAGCAATGTTTTATAGAAATATTTTTATTTTTTTGAGACAAAGTGTCCCTCTGTCACTCAGTCTGGAGTACAGTGGTGCAATCATGGTTCACTGTAGCCTCAACCTCCTGAGAGAAAGTGATTCTCCCACCTCAGTTTCCCAAGTAGCTGGGACTACAGGCATGCTACCACAATTGGCTAATTTAAATATGTGTGTGTGTGTGTGGTGTGTGTGTGTGTGTGTGTGTAGACAAGGTCTTCCTATGTTATCAGGCTGGTCTTGAACGGCTGAGCTCCCACCCTCCTGCCTTGGCTTCTCAGAGTGCTAGGATTATAAGTGTGAGCCACTGGGCCCTGCCAAAAATTCTTCATAAAATAAAAAATCACAATGTATTTTTGTCAAGCTTTGAGGTATCATTGACAAATAAAAATTGTATTTATTCAAGGAGTACAAAAGTGATGTTTTGATATACGTATACATTGTAAAGTGATTACCATAATCAAGCTAGTCAATGTTACATCACCTCACAGAGTTAACTTTTTCGTAGTGAGAATACTTAACATTTGCTCTCTTAGCAAATTTCAAGTATTCAATATATTAACTATAGTTCTCATGAAGTATATTGAGTTCCCAGAACTTACTTGTCATGTAATTCCACATATACATCCTTTAAACAGCATCTTCCCCCCTCCCCTCTCTCATATCCCTGGTAATCACCCTTCTACTTTTTGTTTCTATGAGTCTGACTTTTAAAAAAAGTCATAATATATATAAAACAAGAAATAATATTGTTACTATTTATAATAAATATAAAACAGGAAATAATATTACTATTTCCTGATTATCCTTTTGCTGTATTCCTCCTCATCTATCACAGTTCTATCCAGCTTCCTTTATCTGCTATACCTAACCAAATTGGCAACAGCAGGAGTGATATGAATAGCCTTAAAAAAAAAAGTATAAGCCTTTTGATGCATGGTCAACAAAATTATTTCTGCTTCCCCTGAACATACAGAGAGGTGGAAGAAGTTTTAAGTTATTTTGATGTCTCTTACTTTTGGAAATCTTGCTCCATCCACTGGTCAAGCAAAGAATCCCTGGTTCAACTTTATCATCACTGTGGGGAAGACAGATTGGCTGAACAGCACTTCCTGAGAAAACACCACCAAAGGCATGAGGTTCATGGATAAATAAGTCATGTTGAATATATTTGGAAAAGTGATATCTGTTGATTTCATGGGTTCTATACTTTCTTCCTAAATGTAATAATGACATATTTTAAGTTTTGCCCTCTCCATATAAAACTCCTTCATATTTACAGAAATTTAGAGAAATGCAGAAAAAGTAAAACATAACCCATTGTTCTGCACAGCACCATGAGCCCCTTAATCTATCAACATTTTAGACTATGCTTTTGTTTTGAAAGGATAGTTTTTCATTTAACAGTTACTGAGCACGAAACCAGAGGAATTAGCCACGCCACTGCCTTTGAGGTATCAAATTGATCTTTAAGATCCTAGAAATTTACCTGGCCATAAAGAAACTGTAAAGAATCTGGGAAGTTTAGAAAAAATATAGATAAAGGTGGGGAGAGACTGTAATTTAAGAGAAAGTGGCTGAGGGATTAATCATAATTGATATCCAAATCTTAAGATTTAAAAAGCCCAGTAACTCCAACTATGATACAAAAAAATAATGTTATATCTAGACACATGCTGAAAATGTAGTACATGAAAAACAAATAATGGATCTCAAAAAAATCTAGAAGGAAAAAATCATATTACTCAAAAAAGGAATGTTATTGATTTCTCAACAGCAACAGTGAATGTCCAGAAGACAGTAGAACAAGATGATAAAAATATCACGTGGTAAGCACTCTTTTAGGTCTCAATGAAGGAACAGAAATAAAAATATCTCTGGGTAGAGCCTACATGAGTGTGTATATTTGCGTTTTTGTGTTGGGTGAGGGGAGACGAAACAGACAGCAAATATAAGCTGTTCAGTGGTAAATACACACTATGGAAAAAATAGGATAAAGGAGATAGGTCTGGAGATGAGGGAGAATGGCATGGGAAAAAATCATTTTAAATATGATGGTCATGGAAAGTCTCATTGAGCAGGTGACATCTGAGCAAAGTCTTGAAGCTAAAGAAAGGAATCATGTAGTTATCTGGGTGGAAGGCATTTGATGAAGAAACAATCCTTGCTACAGGGTCATGCATATATGTTTAGGGAACAGTGGAAGACCAGGATGACTGGAACAGATTAAGTAAAAGGTTTTGTTAAAAAATAAACAAGTCAGAGGTTAGATGTAGGACTAGGAAAGAGGATATTCAGATAATAATGGCATTGATTTTCATCTAAATGTAATAAAGAACCATTGAGGTGGTATGAATAGGGTGACATAACCTAATTTATGTATTTAAAAAGCATTATTCTGGTCACTGGGTTAATAACAAATATTGGGAAGACAGAAGCAGCTTGAGACAATTTCAGACACCACTAAAATTCATCCAGGTAAGACATGATGGTAGTATTGTCTGGAACAAGATAGCAAAAGTGTGAAGTGAGTGAGGCAGAAGCAACAGGATTTTATGACTCACTGGATATACAGTGTCAGAGAAAGAATAATAAAAAATGAATCCAAAGTTTTTTAGCCAATTCATCTGGAAGGATGGAGTTGTCATTAACTGAAACGAGAGAGGCTATAGGTAGGCATCCATGAGATGTGGGGGTGGTCAGGATTCTGTGTTAAACATACTAAGTTTGAGATGCCTATTAGCTATCCAGTTAGATGACCAGTTGACAACTGGTTACAAGAATCCCACTAATTTCAGAAGCATATGTAATATAAAGAAACCTAGCCTAAGAGTAGTCTTCAGGTAGCACATGGTGTTTATATTCTTCATCCTGGATGAGATCACTAAGAGAATGAGCACAACTAGAAAATAAGATGTCCAGGGCTGAGCCTTCGGTACTCTAACAATATGAAATCAAGAAGAGGGGGAAATCATCATAGAAGACTAAGAAAGGGTACAATAGGGTAGGAGAATAACTAATGAATTCCCAGAATTCAAGTGAAGAAAATATTTCCAAGAGCATATGAGCAATTCTGCTAAAAAACTCTTATCCAGAAAGATGGGATTTGAGAAGTTACTTTGAATTTAGCAATATAGAGGTCATTAGTGACTGTAACAAGACTAAATTTATGGAACAGCAGAGTGAAAGTTTGATCCTCTTAAATGTGGAACAGACATCTTAACCTAATACATCCAACTATGAGAATTGAGGAAACGAAACTGACATAACTAGCACTGATTTGCTATAAAGGAAAGAAAAAATGGGGCAATAGTTTCCTCTTATATACAATTCCAGTTTGAGTTATTCTCAGATTTGGATCATCTTGTTCCACTATCTTCTGACATTAACTTACTATTGTTGAGAAGTCAGTAACATTCCTTTTTTGTTAACATGTCTTTTTCCTTCTAGATTCTTTTGGGATACATTCCTTTAGTGTGCTACATTTTACAAAAAATGTCTAGATATAAAATTATTTTTTTGTATCACAGAGTCACTAGGCTTTTTAAATCTAAATATTAGGATCTCATTTATGGTCAATTCTTGGCCACTTTATCTTAAATTACAGTCTCTATCCTCCAATATCCATATTCTTTCTAAACTTAAAATTAGAAGTTTACTACAGTCTGTCTTCTCTGTCTCTTATCCTCATTGTCACCTCTGGGTAATTATTTCAGATTGTCTAGTTCCATACACCTAATCTAATCTGGTAGATAAGTATTCTGTTGAGTTTCTAAATCCAATTACATTTTTGTATTTTCATGTTTTATTAGCTTTTCAAATTTCCCTTCCATCCAATAGTTTTGCGTGGTTCAATCATTTTCAATACACTTTTACTTCTTTAAGCTTTACTATACTTATTTTCTATTCTCTATCATGAAATTTGCAACCTTTGAAGGTCTGATTCTGATTGTTAATGCTTCAGATTCTATCTTCAATGCAAATTTCTCTACATGGTTGTGTGATTGAATTCATTAAAACTTTATGGGAATATATTGAAGCTGGGATTTAAGTTTCATTATCTCAGAGAGTATTTACTTTTGCTTCTGCCAGAGTCTGAATCCTCACCTGGAACCTCTTTAAAATCTTGCCTTGGCGTTTTTTTTGTGACACACAGGTGATGGCAATTCCAGCATCAAACCTGACTGAAGCCTGGCTCATGATTACAGATTCTTCTGAGAACCCTCTCTCCAGAGCCAAGGTTGACAAAAGTAAGTGTCCTTATTCCCTCACTTTCTGTAACATAACTCCCTAACTCCTTCTCCCTACCTTTCAAAGCATCACCTTTCAGAAAGTTCCAGGGTCTTTACAGCTCCCCTCATGGCCAGGTAAATCTCTAGGATCTTAAAGATCAGTTTGATCCCTCAAGGGCAGTGCCCTAACTACTCTGGATTTGTGCTTTGGTTTTGGCCACTTAACATACTTGCTTTTTTGGCATTTTTTTTTTTAAATAAGGTTTTTAGTGTTTTACCCAGAATGTTTATGTTACCTGTGCTGAGAGAGTGTTGGATATCTTGTTCACAGTAATTACAGAAAGAAGTCTCTGAAAACACTTTCAAATGTTCAAAGCTTTTTGGTTAGAGAGGAATATAGGTAGGTAGTTAGAATGTAGTCCAGCCAAGACACAGAAGTCTTTAAAATACCAATTGACCAACATATGGACATAACCTAAGTTGTCCATCAATGGATGAATGAATAAAGAAAATGTAGCATATATACACAATGGAATGTTATTCAGCCATAAAAAGAATGAAATCTTGTCATTTGCAACAACACAGATGGAACTGAACATGGATGTTAAGTGAAATAAGCCAAAGACAAGCATCACATATTCTCACTCACGTGGGAGCTAAAATACAGAATCTCATGAAAATAGAGATTAAACCTGTGCTTATGAGAGGCAGGGAAGGGTAGCGAAGAGAGGAGGATGAAGAGGGGTTGATAATGGTTACAAATATACACTTAGAAGAGATAAGACCTGAAGTTTGATAGATCAGTAGGATGACTATAATTAGCATTCATTGATTGTATATTTCAAAATAGCTAGAAGAGAAATAATTCAAGTGTTCCTAGCACATATAAAATCATAAATATTTAAGGTGATAGATACCCTGATTTGATTATATGAATGTTTCAAATTATCACATGTACCCTGAAAATACGTACATCTAATGTATATCAATAGAAATAAATGAAAGGGAAAAAATGTTGATTGTTAAGCATAAGTAATTCGTGGCTGGGACATGTGGCCTGTACAGTAGTTTATTTTTTAATAGGTTATAGATTGAACAAAATTATTTTAAAAAGAAACAAAGCTTAGCTATTCTACTACTAGACAGCCACACAGAAATTAAAGTTAACTTATATATAATTAGCAGTTTTCCCCCATTGGATTTTTAATATTCTAACTCTCCATACTCACCAAACTTGACTTTGTGTTTTAGATACAGCAGTGCAATATCAGGACTCATATATTCACAGCTGTTGTATTCAGGATGGATAATAATTTTTGAGACAGGAGTATTCTGTTCTTGCTTATCCTTCTGAAAGAGGCTGTACTCCCCAGATGTCACAGTTATATTCTTCAGTTGCTCCCTAAAACCAAAGGAAAATATTTTTCATAAGTAGTTGTTTCCCCTAGGCAAGATTTCTTGGTGGGATGTAATTAAAGAAAAAATGATTAATGTACCTTTCAGCATCCCCAAGTTTTTGAAGAAGGTTTTTCTTATTATTATTACCAATGGTCATAATTTTTTTTAATCTAGAAAAAGTCATGGTTTTCAGTCATGTTTCCATTTTTTTGAGTCAAGTATTTAAATATTGCCTTTCTTCTTTCATATACAAACCATAGTTCACACATGCTATGCCATTTGTAACAGGATATAAAAATTGCTTTCTAGAACTGTTCCTTCTTTTCTCTTACACATACCCTCTTTTGATCTGGTCAAGTATTTGTAATTTCTGCAGTTTTTTCCCTCCTAATGATTTAAACCCAGATGATCAAAACTTTGGAGTGTCCATTTAACATTTCTTGTTCTTGTTTTATTATAATAAGTAACCACGGCCTCTACCCAAGAACTAAATTCATAAATTATAGATGATGTCCTGGATTGTTTAGAGTCTCTATTCAGTAGAACAGGAAGCACTGAAAATCTTGGGATAGACACACCTTTCTGGGAATCAGGAAGATCAGTGTGTGGGTGCACTGGGAGGCAAAATTAAGAAGGGGATTGAGGGGCCTGGTGTGGTGGCTCATGCCTGTAATCCCAGCACTTTGGGAGGCTGAGGCAGGTGGATCATGAGGTCAGGAGATTGAGACTAGCCTGGCCAACATAGTGAAACCCCATCTCTACTAAAAATACAAAATTTAGCTGGGCTTGGTGGCAGGCACCTGTAATCCCAGCTACTTGGGAGGCTGAGGCAGGAGAATCACTTGAACCTGGGAGGCAAAGGTTGCAGTGAGCAGAGATCATGCCATTGCACTCCAGCCTGGGTGACAGTACAAGACTCCATCTCAAAAAAAAAAAAAAAAAAAAAGAAAGAAAAGAAAAGAAAAAAGAAAAAAAGAAGAAGTAAAGAAAGGGACTGAGAATGAACCTATTTAGAGGAACAAATCTCCCAGTCCCATAGCCAGGAATCAAGGCCTGACAAGTAATGGAAATCCACAACTTACTCACTGAGGCTGTCCAGGCAGTGTGCTGCTGTAATGACTCGATCTTCTTGAATCAAGCTTCCTCCACAGAAGTGGTGCTCATTTAATTTTAGGGAGACCTACCCAAGAAGAAAGTTACAAATGCAGTTAATATGTCTCCCCACAGATGTATCTCCATCAGCAACACTGGATATCAATTCTAATCAGACATAATATTCTTAAAATACTGACATAAATTGGAAGTAAACTTTTTGGTAGAGAGCTAGAGGCGGTCAGGAGAAAAACTACATATCAATCTGGATTCTTGGTTTTGAAAAAAAGGAAATATTTCACTGTCTTCTCATTAAGAAATCAATGCCTTTGTTGTACTGACCTGCCAAGGATGTCCAGCCACTGTTGAATTTCTCCAACTACTAATTCTAGAGAAGAACCCAGATCCCACAACAGTTTCCTTACTTTTCATGTTGACCACACGCATTCCACACTTCAGTCCTGTGTAGAAGAGAGCACTTGTGTGTTTGTGCACACACAGAGCCTTATTTAAGAGTTTACTTTACCAAGATTTCCTGTTTGGATTTTCCTGGCCTGGCAGAGATGGTCTGATATCACTTAGCTCCAGACTATCACATTCTTCTCTCACTATTTTCTTCAGAATATCCCAAAGTCACCCAGGTTGACCAGAATTTGCCTCCTGCCTACTCCCTTTCAGTCTGTGCTACCACTGGACAGGAAGGAGCCAGCACTGCCTCTGGTAGATGACTTGGGGCTTACTCTGGGAAGAGGCACATTTAAGTTGAGTTAAAGATAGCAGAGCCCAGGTGCAGTGGCTCACGCCTGTAATCTCAGCACTTTGGGAGGCCCAGGTGGGCTGACTCCTGACAAACCCAGGAGTTTAGGACCACAGGCAATGTGACAAGACCCCATCTCTACAAAAATATGCACAAATTAGCCAGATGTGGTAGCACATGCCTGTGGTCCCAGCTACTCGGTGGCTGAGGCAGGAGGATCACATGAGCTCTGGAGGGTTAGGGAGCCATGACTGCACCACTGCACTCCAGCCTGGGTGACAGACCGAGACCCTGTCTCAAACAAACAAAACAAAACAAAACGAAACAAAGATATTGGGAAATGACATGTACTACCCTGGAAGGGAGATACTTGACTTTAAGTTACTTCTGCTTGGTTAGGTTTCCTTGGAGCAGGCTCCTTAGCACACACATAGCACGTGTGCCTAAAAACTTGAACTCTAGAATCTAAAATGTCTCAAAAAGGAAATCTGGCCCAGGCCTTCCTTTGGGGACATCTGGGCATGCACCACCCCCTCACCCTTTCTTCCCAAATGCCTCCGGTGTGCCTATACCACCCGGCCTTCTTGAGGCAAGGAGTAATGAAGTCTTCCCTCTCCAGAAAGCTCAGTCTCCTCCACAGTCCCGGTAACGAGGGGCCTGGGCTCACCTAGGCTTCTGGGATGGCCCATGACTAACAATAGCAACAAACCAGCACTGGCCAGCACCCCCATATCCTCACGCGTCCGCCTCGAACGTCCTTCCCTCCTGCAGGCTGCGAAAACTCTGCGGGGAAGGCGGGGCCGCGTCCTTTATGCCTTCCTGCAGCGCCTATGGGCAGCACCTGCCGTGGCACCTTGGTTCGCAGGTGTCCCTCTTCACGATCAATTGCTCCATCATTGTGAGCTGCCTGCCGCCCTCTGGTCACGCCCGGTGTCACAGCCTTAGAGACTGGCGCAAGGTGTCGTCAGGGGCGGCAGGGGCGCTCGCAGGTGTGCAGAGGTTCCTGCCAGCAGATCCAGAGCAAGCCAATCAGTGGCCTGGAACGCTTAGCCCTGCGATTTCTGTCCCAGGTTGGGGAGTCCCGCCTGGGCTCAGGGGCAATGAAGCTGGTCCCCCACGCAAAACACAGGCAGGTCTTCTGAAAGGTGGAGGCTCCTTAAGCTTAGTACAATACTACCCCTTCTAAGAAGCTTGTTGAAGCGCTTGATCCTCAAGAGTTTTCAAAGAGTGAATAGCGAAGATCACGCTTGAGCTGCCATCATTTTCTGGGTGGCAAGTATTGTACTCCATTTCAGCAGAATGGGTCAAAACTGTAGGATCCATCATCTAAGATCACTGAAATTAATCTATTGGTGAGAGGTCACCTTTTTTCCATGAATATTATTTTCTAACAAGTTAGGCTGAAATTGGAAGACAAATAAAGCCAGAATTTGTAATGGTCTTATATTTTGTCAGAAAATTAGGGCAAGGCTAAATGGGCATTCTATATATATCAAATAACCTGGACACCAGTCCTCCAGCACCAGTTGGACGATTTTACTTTCAAGTGCAACATTTTACTTTCATGTAAAATAGAAATAAAAGCTTCTTGAGGTAGGAGGATAAATAAACCAAGGGGGACAGGCGGGAGATGAACAGGTAGATGAGAACACAGAAGGCAGTCAAGGTAGAGAGAATGCAGGCACAGGTAAAAGCAGGTGACAATCTACTGGGGACAATGACCTCTGTGACTGCAGGAGAGAGCAGAGGGTGAATGGACACCTTTTGATGAAAAGCCTAAAAAAAGTGAGTGATGCCTGGTGATGTGGCATGTGGCCTATAGTCCCAGCTACTGGGGAGGCTGAGGCAGGAGGCTGGCTTGAGTCCCGGAGCTCTGGGTTGTAGGGCACTATGCCAATCTGGAGTCCCTCCACACTAAGTTTGGTATTAATATGGTGATCTCCCTGGAACAGGGCACCACCAGGTTGCCTAAGAAAAGGTGAACTGGCTCAGGTTGGAAACCCGGCAGGTCAAAACTCCCTTGCAGTTCAGTAGTGGGATCTCACCCGTGAATAGCCACTGCACTCTGCCCTGGGCAACACAGCAAGACCTTGTCTCTGAAAAGAAAAAAAAAAACATTTTTTGTTGTTTTTTGTTTTTGTTTTTTAATATGACTCGCACTCAAACTTGAAACACACATCTCAAACCTTCTTGTCTCATGAACCCAAAAGTGGCTTCTGTGATTTTTGTTTGTTTTCAAATGAGGTCTCACTCTGTCACCCAGGCTGGAGTGCAGTCATGCAATCTCAGCTCACTGCAGCCTCAACCTCCCAGGCTCAAGTGATCCTCCCACCTTTGCCTCTCAAGTAGCTGGGATTACAGGAGCATGCCACCATGCCAGCTAATTTTTCGTATTTGAGGCACAGTTTCACCATGTTGTCCAGGGTAGTTTCTGTGATTCTTACGTCCCAAGTTCCACTACACGAAAAAGCTCTAGAGCTACACTGACCAATGTGGCAGTCACTAATCACATGTGGCTATTTAAATTAAAATTAACAGGAAATCAAGTTAAAAATTCAGTCACACTAGATACATTTCAAGTGCTCAGCAACCACCTGTGGCTAGTGGCTACCACGTTGAACACCACAAATACAGAACATTCTGTCATCACCAATAGTTGTATTGGACTGTGCTATTCTTGAGAGTAGCACTATTGTCTTTTAAATATTGATTTCAAGGAAAGACATCTTGGATGACAGTTTGAGTAGATGACTCCTTGGTTTCATGCATGGATGTCTAGGGAATAGGGGGTGTCCAGTATGCTCTTAAGGTAAGCAGCTCTTCTGTGAAAATGAAACATGGAACCTCCAGGCTTCAGTACTGCCCAGGGAATGTCCAGGTGTGGTGGCTGCCTGACCAGAGGCCCTCATCGCTCTCCTCCCTGTAGTCATCTCACAAGGGTGACCATTTGAACCACCGTACCAGCTCCAGGACCACATTGTTTTCCAATAAAAGCTCAGAGCCCTCAGATGGGTCCAAAGCCCTCTCTTTTTAGCAAGAGGTAAGATGAAAGCCACCAAAAAGCCTTTACTAAATAAAAGGGAAAGAACAAAAAGGTGAGTATGTGCTGTGCAGGAACAGTCAGGCCAGCAATGCTCAAGTTGCTGGTTGTACGACGGCCAGCCCTTCCGTGAGGCCCATAGCTGCTGTCCCCTTTCACTCTTCTGCCAATGACACACAGCTTTGCAGGATAGTCTGTGGTTTGTTTCAAATCTGGGAATCTTCAAGTGGTGGGCACTGTCTCATTTCCTGTTACAGAACAACTCCCTTCGTTTCCAGAGTTCAAAACCCACAGCTTCAACTGTGATCCTATTCTTATATACAGAGATTTAGTCCCTTACAGGCCTTACAGAATAATTCCTTTAAAAGAAATGGGAAAAGAGCCATTGAATAAGAATTACAAACCATTAATAGCCAGGCCATAGGCCAGGCACAGTGGCTCACACCTGCAATCCCAGAATTTTGGGAGGCCGAGGTGGATGGATCACCTGAGGTCAAGAGTTCTAGACCAGCCTGGCCAACATGGTGAAACTCCGCCTCTACTAGAAATAAAAAAATTAGCTGGGTGTGGTGGCACATGCCTGTAATCCCAGCTACTCGGGAGGCTGAGGCATGAGAATCGCTTTAACCTGAAAGGCAGAGGTTGCAGTGAGCCAAGATTACACCACTGCACTCCAGCCTGGGTGACAGAGTAGGACTCTGTCACAAAATAAAATAAAATAAAAAATAAAAGATTAAAAAAAAACCCAGGCCATTAGTTTTAGACTCAAATTTTCTAATAAAGTAATGGTTTAAATAGAAATTGAATTTGCAGTTATGGTAAAGTATCCAAATGGAAGAATTCTCTTTTTCTGCTTAAAATAACTTCAGAAAAGGAAAGGATATCAAGGAGAGGAGTGGGTTGGACTACCCCCTGAAAGTTGTGACTTGTGATGTACAGCAAATCTGTCTTGAATTTGGACATCTTCACTAGCAGAGGACAACTGCAATCTGCTATTCAAAAAGCTTGGCTGTGAAGGACAGAGAGATGTGCAGCTACAGATAGAATGAAACAGAAGAAAGATTTTTTTTTTCAAATTGTTTTGATGTTAATTAACATAGTATGTGCTTTCAGATAGAGGAGACCTAACACATTGACAAGAGCCAGCAAAAGGAAGAAGTTAAAAGATGAAGGAGAAGTTAAGGAATGGAACGAAGTTCCATAAGAGGCAAAATCCAGAACCTAGGGTTCTCTTCTTCCATTATGATAACAGGAGAAAAGAAAGGATAAAATTAGGTACAGGTAAATGTATAGATGAAGTGCAGGGCATTGGGGGATATCTACTTTCCACGTTTTATTTACTCTGTGAAAAGAGAGATGGAGGCATCTAAGCATGATGGGGGAGCGGATCTGGAGTGGGCAAGTACCGAATTGGCACTGTGTGGAGGAAGGGAAAGAGCACAGACAGGAAGCACACAGATCAATGCAATGAAATGAGTCAATGAATGAAAGAAGGAAGGAAGATGTTCCTTTTAAACACAATTGTTGAAACAGACATTCCTGGTGACATAGACATCAGTAGGTACTAACCATGAAGTACTTGAGAGATTGAAACCAGACATACTTATTTTCATCATATTTTATAGAAAATAGACATTTACATAAATTTAATTTTGGAAAGACCTAGGCAAAGTATACATCATTACACTCAATGGGAGAAATACTTTATGGGAAATAAATTCTAATGAGCACAGCCAAAGCAACAAAAATGTACATTTACATACAACTGATCAAAACAGGAAGTAAAAGCATTATGAACTAAGAACATGATGCAAGTCATTTCCCCCTCACAAAAGGAGGGATCTCTGTGAATTACAGCAAATCAAATGATTTCCAGATTGTAAAAGCAAGCCATGGCTTCTACAGATATTTTAATTCCTTGGGAGGAAGTTTCACCTCATCTTTTTTCCCCAGTAAAGTATCAATCACTATAGGAATTTTTAAGTGTGTAGACCGTAAAATAAGAGTAACTAATTCCACCATGTTCAAGCATTTGGGCAATTTTGTCACTTTTAGGGTTGTATCATTTAAAAAAGGGCAACATTTATGAATTATCTCATCAGATGCATAGTGTTTTTTCAATCCAGATTCAAAAGTAACCATTAGAGTGACTCATCGAGCTTAATGGATATATCCAACCGGCCAGTCCTTTCATGGGTGGCAAACGTGACTGAGACACTGGCTACCTTGCCCAGGTGAGGTGGCTCTTGAGTGGCAGAGCTAGAACTAGAACTCAGAAGTCTTGATTCTTGGGCTAGTGTACCCCTTTTCTAGATCAACAAGATAACCCCCAAAGGACATCACACACATTGAAAACTACCAAATGTGATATATATACATGTGTACTACTGAGAATGAGAAGAAACTCCTGGATGTTTGGAAACAGACATGTCTTTCCAGGTGGGAGTCAATGGTTATCTATGCTTACAACCCAATAATGACTATATATTGTGGTGGATGCCAATTTTATGAGTTACAGGCCCTAAAGATTTTAATTGAAAAGATCCTCGGCAAAAAGATTGTTGTAAAGATCTTATCAACTCTGTTGGGCTGCTTAGATTGATCTTAAACCATGCTTTTGATTGCAGCTACACGGCTATAAATAAAATATTCAGAGAAATATTATTTTTTGGAAGAACTATTCAACATATTTTCCATTTGTATCAAAAACTGCAAGAATAATAAAATGTTATAATATTTCTCTATATTATTTTTGGCACCCTAAGCTTTTATCTTATTCAACTGCAGCCTCAATCCAAGATTTGATATGTACTTATTCTTTTCAAATGTCAAAACATATCATTTACATAGATAAGTTAAGCTATAATTGGGAGATACCAACATATAAGCACATCAAAGTAAATGTAATTTGGAAACCAGGAAAAAAATTAAAAACAAACAAATCACCTATAACTATATTTGTTTTGAATGTTGTTACTAAAATCCTCTAGATTTATTATTTTAAGAAGGTGAATCCACCACAAATCAAAGCTTTTTTTTTTTTTTGAAACAGATTTGAACAAGTATGAGTAAGAAATAATTAACAAAAGCTCATGTGTGCCCAAAATAAAGATAGAGATGTAGGCATAAACTCTATGCCATGGACACCTTCCATGAGTCA